CCACCCACACCCCACCCCCCCCCCCACACCCCCACCCCTCACACCCCACCCACCCCCACCCGCACCCACACCCACACCCACACCCACACCCACACCCACACCCACACCCACACCCACCCTTAAATAATGGAACAATTTATTCAACAAAACCATATCGAGAAAAAGAAAAGATTTCTTTTGTTTTATTTTGTCAGACGCAGCATCTTAGTACACTTGTCGCAAACGGATTCCGTTTACGATCTCCATATATCTTCATACATGATCGTGCATGTGTGACCTAGCAGATACAAGTTTATCAGATTCGCCGAAATTTTTAATTTTGTTGATAATGCCATTGAAAAACTATTGTTTGATCTTGAAAATAGTCCTGTCATTAGTGCAAGATAGTTCTAATACTACTATTGTTTCATAGAGGTTGGACAAACTAATAGAATCTTCGACTTTACGGACGATATTGGTTTGCAATCATCGTCCCATTTTAACATGCAGAAAAAACAACAAAATTCATTCTTTCACAGCATACGTCTCAGGTTCCTATGCGAGCTCAAATGTTTTCTTATATTTTTTTTCTCTTGGCTATTTAAAACAATGAAGAACATAGCCACACATATAAGATCATGAGAAACAACATGTATCCTGCTTTATTGGTTGTTTGATCGAATCTGGTGGAATGAGCAGATCGAAAATCTCCAATATTGACAAATTTCAACAATAAGATTTTGGAAAGCTTGTTCAACATTCGTAGAATTCAGTGCTAATGTTTCAATGTACGTTTTTCAAAATATATTTTACATGTTAATTTTTGACAGCAAAAAAGTATCAAACTTACGGAATATTTCTTTCGTCAGCAAGTTGTTTTGCATCATTCGAGGAAACAGCTTGAATATGCCGTTGATCGAATTTATTTCCCACCATTACAATACGACAGTCGATATCCGCATTGGATTTCAATTCATCGTACCTTATAAAAGAACAAGTATCTTGTGAAGAAACCAACAGAGAGAGGGTGGGTGTGGGTGTGATTCTGCTCTTTACCCAAAGTAAACCACACCAACCCACACCCACATTCCACACCCAAGCGTTACCCAAGTCGGATCATTTGGAATTCTTGGAATCTGATAGGATCCAGCATGATCTTCATGATTCCGAACATCGCACAGCGTTTCAAGTCTTGAAATCCTTGGAATTCTTGGTACATTCTCAAAAGCATATAGGCTGGTAGAAGGCTGTTGTGGTTTTCTAGGAATCCAACCCTTCCCCAAGTCGAATCGCTTGGAATTGTTCGAGTCTGATAGAATCCAGCATGGTCTTCATTACTCTACAGACCACACTGTGTTTCAAGCCTTGAAATCCTTGGCACACCCTCAAAAGCCTATAGGGCGCTAGATGGATTCTGGGATTCTCTCGAAAACCAAGCCTTTGCCAACTTGGATCTCTTGGAATGTTTGAAATCTGATAGAATTCGCCACGATCTTTATTATTCTGAAGACCACATTGCATTTCAGGTCTTGGAATCCTTAGAGTGCTTGAAAAAATTTCAAGATTTCCTTTTTGACGGAAGTCAGTCACGCGTCTCTCCTGGTTTTTTTTCTTCTTCCTATTTTATGTGTTTCCGAGGTTTCCGTAAGAAATATATGTATGCTGATTTTATTTTTGTTGAATGAGATTTATTAGATCTTAGTGAAAGGATTCCGACAGTTTACAATTAAGCGGCGTGATTAATTAATTAATTAAATCATTGAAAGTCTTTAATTAAGTATTTTTGATGATATTGACCTTATTTATTTGTTTGAATCGATATTGAATTTTTGTATTCGTTGATTTCCATTATCGACAACATAGAGATTGCCGTCTCCATCGAATGACAAACCATCGGCTCCATAGAGTTGGTTCGATTGTCCTCCTTCACCGTTTCCACCAACAATTACACTTCCTTCTGTGGCTCCTTTGGGCCAACGCATGATTCGATTATTCCCTCTATCAGTCACATAGACAGTGTCCAATTGATCAACAACAACTCCTTGAGGATATGACAATTGTGTAAGACTATTTCCACATCCTTGACCACCAGCCACGACAATGCCTTGTTTTGCATCTTCCATCCATTTCATCACACGGTCATTTCCCAAATCAGATACATATACTGAATGATCTCGATCGACGAATATGAATTGTGGGTAATAGAGTTGATCGAGACGATTTCCACTTCCATTGCCACCTGCAATCACTATTCCTTGAGATTCTCCTCTTCGATATCGTTTCACTCCATGCTTTTCATTGTCAACGACATAAAGAGATCTATTCTCATCCATTGTCAAACCCCGGCAATCGATGTTGGAGATGATTGTTTCTCCACTTGTCCCATTTCGGCGAGGCCATTGAACCACTCTTCTATTTGCATTATCGCAGATGATGAGACTATCTCTTTCTTTGTCGACAATCACATCTATTGGGTAATACAATTGATGATGCCCACTTCCTTGTCCATTTCCACCGGCAACCACTTGTCCACTCGTTGCACCCCATTTCCATTTCACAATACGGTTGTTCGTTTGATCTGCGGCATAGATTGTTTGATCATCATCAACATACAAGCCCCATGAGTTTGAGAGTTGATTGATTTCATTGCCATATCCATTTCCTCCAGCTACAGTGATACCATTCTGTTGCCATCGAGCATTTGGATGAATGTCAATGGAACTTGCACGTAATGAATGGACTGAAATAGAGAGAAAGGAGAGGATAAAATAATAAAATAAGAAAGAAGAGAAAGAGATAGCATAGAGAGAAAAAAGTAAAAATTTCATTTGAATTTTTGCAAAATCAACAGCGTTCCAAGTTTTTCTTAATGGTTGGTGTTTTTTGTTTGTTTTTTCTCTCGACAGAGTGGGAATGTCAAAAAACAGTTATTTATTTTGTTTTCTTTTGGTTTTCTTTACAAATTTATCATGAAATAACTACTGATCGATGTTTTTCTTTTTTGTTTCGTACTACGTACATATTATCGAGGTACTAATACTAATATATGGTTGGAAAAAAAGCGTTTTTTTCAACTATCTTTCGTCGTATATTTGAATTAGTGGGGTTTAGAAAAGATTTTCCGTAGAGTTGAAACATTTTCAGAAACTATATGAATTTATTGAAATGTAAGTCATCCTGATAAATAAATCATTAATATACGGCATATTCCATGAGAAGTCAACCAAAAAAAACACAACGTACTTAAAAAATTTTCTTTTTGGTCACGTTTTGTAGAGCCTTTTTTCCTGATCATTTTGGTGAAAAAAAATTGGGTGCTTCCTATAAAAATAGAAAAGTTATGATCGAAATACTAAACAGCCTAAAATGCCTAGAAATGCATTTTTTTAAAATTTTTTAAAGCAGAGTAATTCATTATTTGTGATGTTTGCTCTACATTTTCCTAACAAATTCTTATTAAAATTACATATTCTTGTAGCCCAAGTGCTAAGGTACAAGAATTGCTGGTTTTGAGGCTACGTTTTCAACCAAATTGTTGACTGTTTAATCAAAAACAACCAGTGAGTGACTACAGAAAAGTCAATTAGCATTACCCAAAATGGCTATATTCTGAGAGAATGTGCTATACTGGGTTTTGTAGAGCAAAGTCTCCTCTACAAAACCCTATATTTAGTTTCTCATATACTCTTGCATAACTTTCATAAATCTGGGCGAAACATAATTTGCTGCATTCTCCATCATAAAATGAGGGCATATTTGTGGGATGCAAATCCCTTTTATTCAAATGCAACCTCCAGTTTTTGATGAAGCTGTTAGAGCTTTCAAATTCAAGTATTTTGATAAAAGAATTCTTTTGAAAAGGTTTTGTTTTCGTGGAGATAAACGCAAAATATTGTAGGCACTAAAGACCATAAACCCTAAAAATATGACTTTTTCGTTAGAAGTTGTAGAAAAAGGTTTTCATAGGTTTTCTTCCGTCAAACAAGGTCGCAAAGAAAAACCAAGAGCATATTCAGATTCCTCGTGAGACGGCGCATCGGAGGATACTAAAATCTACTTCAGTTTTCGTAAAATCACTGCGATTTTTGGTAGTGTAGGCAAAATAATACTATAATGTGGAGTGATCGTTAGTCAGTGGGAACAAATATTAGTTATTTTTTTCATGAAAACTGAAGTAGATTTTAGTATCCTCCGATGCGCCGTCTCACGAGGAATCTGAATATGCCCTTGGTTTTTCTTTGCGACGTTGTTTGACGGA